AGTGACTCACTCCAGTGAATGGATGTGAAAAGGGAAACTAGGCAACCTTACAGTGGAGAAACCTGGCAAACACCAGCTTAACCAAGCAACCAAGGTTAACATCAGTGCTGTCCTGTGACATCACATGCCTCCTGGCATGGTGTAATCAGAGGGGCCCTTCACATCAGGGGTATTCTTTCCAAATACCCATAACCCAGTCAAATGGAACATCAGAGAAACTGGGAAATTGAGGGACATCCTACAAAATACTTGACCAGTACTCAAAACTATCAAGGTCATGAAAAATGAGGGACTGAGAAACTGTCAGAGCAGAGGAGGCTAAGGAGACATGACAACTAAATGCAATGTGGCATCCTAGATTGGATCCTGAAATAGGGAAAGGACATTAATGGAAAAACTGGTGAAATCTGAATAAAATGTGGAATTTAGTTAGTAGTTAAAAAAAAGGCCCAGAAATAAACCATCACATATGTGGTCATAGAGCTCATATAATTTTTGACAAGGATGTCAAGACCGTTCAATGGGGAAAGGACAGTCTCTTCAACAAATGGTATTAGGAAAACTGGATATCCACAAGCAAAAGAAGGAAGTTGGGGCCTTACCTTACATCATAACAAAAATTAACTCAAAATGGATTGACCTAAACATAAGAGCTAAAGCTGTAAAACTCTAAGAAAATGGGAAAAGCTACATGATGTTGGATTTGGCAATGATTTCTTAAATATGACACTAAAAGCACAGACAACGAAAGAAAAAATAGATTAAATTGGACTTCATCAAAATTAAAAATTTCTGTGCATCGAAGGACACAGAGTGAAAAGGCAACCTATGGAATGGGAGAAAATATTTGCAAGTCGTATATCCGATAAGGAGTTAATACTTAGAATAAAGAACTACAACTCAACAACCAGAAAAACAACCCAACTTAAAAATGGGCAAAGACTTTGAATAGACATTTCTCTAAAGATGACTTACTAATGACCAGTAAGACATGAAAAGATGTTCCGTATCACTAATCGTTAGGGAAATGCAAATCAAAACTACAACAGATACCACTTCACACCCATTAGGATGGCCACTATCAAAAACCCAGAAAATAACAAGTGTTGGTGTGGATGTGGAGTAATTGGAACCCTCATGCACCGTTGGTGGGATTGTAAAATGGTGCAGCTGCTATGGAAAAGAGTATGGCAGTTCCCCTAAAAATTAAAAATAGAATTACCATATAATCCAGCAATTCCACGTCTAGATATATACCCTAAATAATTGAAGAGAGTCTCAAAGAGAGATTTGTACACCCATGTTCACAGCAGCCAATAGGTGGAAGCAACCCAAATGTACATTGATGGGTGAATGGATAAACAAAATGTATATATACATACAATGGAATACTATGCAGCCTTAAAAAGGAAGGCAATCCTATCACATGCTACAACATGGATGAACCTTGAGGACATTATGCTGAGTGAAATAAACCAGTCACAAAAAGACAAATACTGTATGATTCTACTTATTTGAGGTATCTAAAATAGTCAAATTCAGAGACAGAAAGTAGAATGACAGTTGCCGAGAGTTGAGGTGAGAGGGAATGGGGAGTTGCTTATTGGTGTAGAGTTTCAGTTTTGAAAGATGAGTCCTGGAGATTCACAATAATGTGAATGTCCTTAACACTACTGAACTGTACACTTAAAAACGGTTAAAATGGTAAATTTTATGTCTTTCACCACATTTAAAAATAGGGTTTTTTTTTTTTTTCATAAAGGTGAGGGAAGACCTTGAGAACAGAGGTTACCTCTGCGTGGGGGCAGTGGAACTGGATTGGAGAGGAGCACACAGGTAGCTTCAGCGGTGTTGCTAAAGTTCTAGTTCTGAGGTTGGGTCATTGGCTCACCCAACTTTGCATAAGTCATATACTATTTCAAAACACCCTGTACATGTAAGAGAAGATCGAGTTCTTCTCATTAGCATGACTCCTACAAAAGATCACGATGGCTAGAGATGCCTCCGTCTCATGTAGACCTTGATGTTCATTCTTAGATACCTTAAACTGGTTATGCTATTCTTAAAGATCCCAATTTAAGTGTCTATCTTTTGATGTAAAACTGATGGTCTCTGATTTTGAGTGAAAGTTCATGTTCTTCCTACGGTCTACATAGTTCATTCATTCAACAAATACTTATTGAGTGCCTGTTATGTGTTGAGGACTATTCTAGGTGTTAAAGCTACAGCAACCAACGAAAGACAAGCATTCTTACTCTCTTTGCTTCCATCTTTCCAAAGAGAAGAATCCTAATTCTTCTCAGCCTATCATCTCTCCCATTCTTTCTGAGTTATGCTTATTTTCTTCAAGCCTCTCAAATTCCGGTCGTTCTTGAAGAGTGAAAAGCGGTAGCAGGGTCTTCCCGTCTTTCTCAGGTTTTGATGGATGGCTCAGAGGCCATCTGCCTAGATCCTCTGTGGTTTACAGGGATCCCCTGCTATCTGAAAGTTCGCTTTACGCCACTTCTTTTATGAAAGGCCTACTTTAGTACCTGTTTTCACTAACTGAAAGAAATTCTTTTTTCTTTTTAAAGATTGGCACCTGAGGTAACAACTGTTGCCAATTTTTTTTTTTTCCTGCTATTTTTCCCCAAATCCCCCCAGTACATAGTTGCATATTTCAGTTGTGGGTCCTTCTAGTTGTGGCACGTGTGATGCCGCCTCAGCACGGCCTGAGGAGCGGTGCCATGTCTGCGCCCAGGATCCCAAACAGGGGAACCCTGGGCCGCCCAAGAGGAGCATGCGAACTCAACCACTCAGCCACGGGACCACCCCGGAAAGAAATTCTAAGGGGATTTTTGGTTTTGTGAAAATAGAGGCAGCACCCAACGTGAGGTGTGAGTGGCGCCACCAAGCTCCTTCCCTGGGAACTACACTCAGTGTCTCAGCATCAAGCCGCCATAGCTTTGAGCTGTGCCTGTGGGCATGTGCTTTACCTTGAGTTATTTTGGTAGGTTATTTTTGGGGTCTGAGAATGCGCAAAAGATTTTCCATATAAATCAATGGTAATTGTTTCTTCGTTTTGGGACATTTCGGCTCATGAAGGTTTTCACGGCGAGCAGGGAGACCTGTGCTTGGGACTCTGGACTGGGGTATTCTGCTTTTTCAGTGAAGGGGGCCCATTGATTAAGACGCAATGGGAGAACGTGAGGATGGAAGGACACAAATAGTAGAAATACTCCTCTGAAAAAATACATTATTGTGAAAGAGAAGCAGCATTTAGATATGTTGGCGATACTCGTAGCTGCAGTGACCTCAGCTAGGAGCCCCTTTTCCCCTGCGTGCTTCAAGGACCGTCAGTGATCAACTAGAACTGATCCCCAAAGCAGAACTCCAAATGGGGGCTTCAAAGCTTCCTCGGCAGCCCCTAATGTAGTCTACCCTTCTGTACAAACCTAAATTCCAAGAGGTATATTGTTTGTGTTTCTTTGCTTGTCAAGTTTCTATTTTTAAATAGGCAAAATGTTCAGGGGAGCTTTTTCAAAATCATTTAATTTTTTTCTAATATAAAAATACATGATCATTTAAAAAAATTCAAACAATATTTATAGACTGAGAAGAAAATGAAACATCGAGTAGAGATACCCACTGTTAGTATTTTGACACCTTTCATTTTCAAGGCACACATGTTTGAATGGACAGATGGACCAAAACTGCCCAGTGTGAAGGTGTTCTGGAACGCCTTTGTTTTACTTAGCTATATAGCCTAAGCATCAGTAGGTCTAGTGAGCTATACATCATCATTTTTGATGACCACATAGCATTCCTTGGTACAGACATATCCTCATTTGTTTTACCAAGAGCCTCTTTTTTGAGGGTGTAAACATAGGAAGGCAGATCCTTGGTACATGTATCTGTTCACTTGCCTGCTTCTTTCTTTAAGCCATCTTTTTAACAATGGAATTGCTGCTGAATCTCACTTTCTCATATTTACCTCCAGAGCCTTCTTTTTCAGTCCTTTTTTTTTTTTTTTAACAGTGAGAGCCAAGTGGACAAAGGCTTAATGTCATTTCATTTATTAATTCCAAAGTATGTTTTTTAGCAGAGCATGCACTGAGTATGTGCAATCATTTGAGAAGGAAAATAAAAAGATAGACATCTACAAAAGCATCCTCAGAAAAGGAGTCTCTGCTGCTTTTAAAGTGAAAGTAGATTATTTGAATTAAAAAAATAATTTTTTTTAAAGATTTTATTTTTCATTTTTCTCCCCAAAGCCCCCTGGTACATAGTTGTGTATTTTTAGTTGTGGGTCCTTCTAGTTGTGGTATGTGGGATGCTGCTTCAGCATGGTTTGATGAGCAGTGCCATGTCTGCACCCAGGATCTGAACCAGCGAGACCTGGGGCCACCGAAGCGGAGCACACGAACTTAATCACTTGGCCACAGGGCTAGCCAAAAAAAAAAGAATTTTATAATTAAAAAAAATTAAGACTGTAGGGGCTGGCCTGGTGGTGCAGTGGTTAAGTTCTCACGTTCTGCTTTGGCTGCCCAGAGTTTGCTGGGTCAGATCCGGGGTGTGGACCTACACACCACTTGTCAAGCCATGCTGTGGTAGGCGTCCCACATATAAAGTAGAGGAAGATGGGCACAGACGTTAGCTCAGGGCCAGTCTTTCTCAGCAAAAAAGAGGAGAATTGGCGGCAGATGTTAGCTCAGGGCTAATCTTCCTCCAAAAAAAAAAAATTAAGACTGTAAATATTAACAAAGTGAAAGTGAAGTTGAGACATGACTCTGTTGCTGGGGAAACCAGCAAGGCAAAGTCTTCACTGTTCAGTAGCTGCCTGCCTCCCCTGGGGCTGGAACAAGTACGAGGCATAGAAACATTGCAGTTGTCCTGGTGAGTTGGTATCTTCTATTTGAAAGAATGATTGAATCCCTTTAGAGAAATATTTGGGCTAGTTTATACACAATTAAAATATTCACACAAATCACTAAGTCAAAGTATGGTGTTCATAAGAAAAATGTTTTCAACAGCATGTGGTAGCATATCCATTTTTATTTCAACAGAAAGCATTCCCATTCCATCTTAGAAAAATGCCCATGAATTTTGTAATTAGCAAACACTCATTCATCAGAAGTTTTTCATTTATCTAGTCTTAAAATTGTTCAGAATTCTGTCATCATCCTTTTGTGGATTCTATAAGTTAATTCAGCTAGACGTCTTGGTGTCCTCTAAAGGCTTTTCTTAAATATTTCTTCTCTACATCTACTCTTAGCTTGATCCTGCCACTTTTGAATATCATTGGTTTTGTCATCTTTTCTCCTTAATTCTTGTCAGTCTGTGGTACTTTTCACTCTACTTTAAAATTTATAACGCATTCTTACAAACGTGCTCATGTCACTTTTTGTATACATGCACATGTCTATGACACTTACATTTTTTGTTGATTTTTTTTAAAGAAAGAGAGACCTATTAATTTCACCTCTTCCTAAACTTTGAAAAGAAACAAACCAAAACTCTGCCCTTCACCTTCAGTGTTTGCAAGATCAGAGTTCCCGTCAGTTAAGGCATCCTTTCTTCCTAACTGTAGAGGAGAAACAATCAGAGAATAAATAAGCGAATAGTTAAAATGAAACCATTTTTATCAAATACATCTGTCACATGAACTGCTGATTAGTTAAAAAACTGGTTGAGACAGTTCTCCTTGCAAGTGTTTTGAATTTTGATATCTGTTTTTACAGCAAGGGCAGCTCATTCATCAGGCAGCTTTAGCTAGACGGTTTTTCATGTTATTCTTGCCTGGATAGGGTAGGGGTGGCGACAGGTGAGCTGCAAGAGAAAGGAGTGTGACTAATGGAAACAGACGCCTGTCTCTCCGAGGGCTGAGCTCTGGGAAGGGGGAAGGGATCAGAGCACGGGCCAGGGCCCATCCTGGTGGATTCAGGCATACGTCCTCAACTCCTTTGGAGGAACAAGGGTTCTCAGGAGCTCAAAAGCTTCTGCCTCGTGAAAGAGCTGGCCCTGAAGCACCGGGCTCTTGAAAGGAGACTTTGCCCCACCTCTGCAGGCTGTCCTCCCTTCTGGACACCAAGCCCACCAAGGGCAATTCCTTCAAAGCAAGGGATTTTCAGGATAATTAACCCTTTGATAGTGTGAAAAGGAATTTTCAGACTGAACTGAGTCAAGGGTTAGTGGTGGTGAAACCCCCTCCAGCTTTCTGGGAAAGCGATAGAAGAGGCTGTGCCATGTCCACCTTCCCCAGCTCATCTGGAAACGTCTACCCTGGAAAAGTCTGTTTTCCACCCTTCGGGCTGGGACAGGTCTGTGAGGAGGGGGCCTTCTATCCAGAGCTTTTCCAGAAAGCCCTTTGCTATACTCATCCTCACTCCAGCTGCTCACACTCCTCCTGAGAAAACTTAATTCTCTCTCACCTGCCGTTTTCACCTCTCCCTTTGCTGTGTTCCGGGATGTAGGTTTCATCTGGGACCTAGCAAGGGATGGAAAGGCCCAATTGCAGGGCGATTGTTACTATTGTCAGCTCTCCTTTGCTGGGCCATCTGTAGCCACCCTCCAGTCATCCTAGTCACTGCTCTCAGCTCCCATGACTCCCATGCGCTCCCATCCTAACTTTCCCTGCAAATGCTAACTGGAGGCAGATTTTCAGATGGAGAAATCAAGGATGAGAGCGTCACTAGGAATCCGGGGTGTAATCATGAACCAGGAACCTGATTCTGACGGCTCTGACTGAGCTGCTTTCTCCAGGGTAGGAGAGCTTGCACCTGAAACATGCTCATTCTAAAACGCAACCCCAGTCTTCTCCCGGCTTCTAGCTGTGCCCTCCTTCTCTGGGGAAGGCTGTGGAACATCTACTTCTGACCTGCTCTCAGGGGGAGAACTGAGGATTGGAAGCCAGAGACTTACCAGGGAGAGGGTGGAGCTGGGGGCTTGGCTGCGGCAGAAGCGTTTAAGTAAAGCCTCTTGCACCTGCAGGAGGGGTAAACGGCAGTTATGCCAGCGAAGTCCTGGCCTTGGCACACTGCAAGTCCAGCAGGGGTTAGGCAGGCGGACTCACCTTCTTGTCCACAAGGCAGCCAAACAATAAGATGAAGACGCCCTGAAAAGAGGGACATGGGGATACGTGAGTCATGGAGGAGGGAACCCAACCAAAGTCAACTCATTTCCTCTCCTCTTCCTGCAACCTCTGTCCTCTTGTCTAATTCCCAACCTGGGGCTCTCATCCCAGGTTTTCTGTACGTTAGCACTATTTGGCACATAGGATCCACTTGAGGTGCTTTCTTACTGTTATGGTTACAGAGGGGATGAATTTCAAAGGATTGGGTACTGACAATTCTCTGACTTTGCTGTCAAAACCAGATATTATTTTACAGATAAGAAAACCAGCGCTCAGAGGCCAGCCCTTTGGCCAAGTGGTTAAGTTCCTGCGCTCCGCTTCTGCAACCCGAGGTTCACCGCTTCAGATCCGGGGCGTGAACCTAGCACCACTCATCAGGCCATGCTGAGGTGGCGTCCCACATGCCACAACTAGAAGGACCCACAACTGAAAATACACAACTATGTACTGAGGGCTTTGGGGAGGAAAAGGAAAAATAAAATCTTTAAAAAAAAAGAAGAAGAACTAGAATGACCTACAACTAGGATATACAACTATGTACTGGGGCTTTGGGGAAAAAAGAAAGCAAAAAGGAAAAAAAAAAAAAAAAGAAAGAAAGAAAACCAAAGCTCAGGGAGGTTTGTCCAAAGCTGTCTAGTTAGTCAGCAGAGGAACTGGGATCCAAACCTAAGCCCTCTAACACTCCCGACACTATGTTTCTTCTGCTCCGCCGTGATGCCTCCTTGAGAAGGGACTGGCAGTGACTTAGACCATCTAAAACGGCAAAAAGCACAACCACCACCTTCTCACCTACCTGGAAGGTGTTGAGAACCGTGAAGATGTAGTGAGGGACTATGGAGACTTCCTCTAACAGAGTGGCCAGGCCCAGCCCCCAGGTGAGGCCGAAGATGGGTGTGAGAATGAGCAGGGCTTTGATCACCCCCAGAAGAGCTTGGCGCTTCTCCACCTGGGGCCCCTCTGACAGCGAAGGTCTCAGCAACTTCAGCACAGCCATGGCTAGCACCAACCCGTTCACGCCCACAATGGTCAGCACTGGCCCCACGAAGGTGTAGAGCCCCACTCCCTTCCTGTCCAACCAGCATTCTTCCTCCCCCAGGTATTGCCCTTGCGGTAGGTAGAGGCCCAAGGCAATAACTGCCAACCCCATTGGGCACAGGTATCCGAGGACCACCATCAGGGAGAGTACTCGGTGCTTGGACAGCTGATGGAAGACAAAGAGCAGCTGGTGGGCCAACATCAGGGACTGAGCCAGCATCCAGAAAAAGGTGGCCAGGTAGAGGAAATGAGAGAGGAAGGCAGTGGCCAGGCAGAGCGGGCTGCGGGGCCCTGGAGGAAGCAAGGCGGCTCCTAAGAAGCACGTGTCTGCGGCCAGCAGGCAGAGCACCGTGTTGAGCAAGGCTGCGTGGCGTAAGTAGGCCACTCTGTTCCGTACCACGACTCTCCACACCAGCCTGTACACGCCCAGGCACACAAGCAGTGCCAGAATGGAGGCTCCCAAGCCCACCTGACCCAGCAGGTCCAGGGTGGGGTTTTTTGGAACCCTGTGTCGGGACATGAGGATGGAGAAGGCAGTGAGGTGCTGGCAGATGCACTGAGTGGTGGGGCTGGCACTGGCTTCCTGTACCTGGCACCCTTCATCCGACCAGCCCCCTTTGCCCTGGAAGAGATTATGGTCCCAGAAGACACAGTGAGAGGTGCCATCTATGTCCCCAAAGTTCATGATGACCTCTCCCTGGTTGAAGGCCTGGCCACCTGCCATGATGGAGATGACAAGGATCAGACCAGGAGTGGCATAGAGAGAGCCCCCCAGGCCTTGTCCATAATTCGAGGGCAGAAGGTGGTCCAGTTTTTGTAGCACCAAGCTGGTGATACTGATGTTGGTTCTATTATGGCCCAGTGGGGCCAGTGAGTGCCCAAGAATCTGTGCCTGCAGTTGGGACTGAGTGGAGAAGGAGACACTGTAGTCAGAAGGAAATGTGGGTCCGAGGAGCTCAGTTTGCATCTGCACGCTGGGCAAGCTGAAGGAGAAGGGGTGATCCTCCTGGCACAGGCTGCGTGCCAGGGTTTCCACAGCCAGCAGGAGATTTGAGCCCATCGAGGGCTGCTGGGCCTGGGCCAGGGTCCACAGAGAACTGTTGTCCATGTCTAGGACCTTGTCTGTGGTATTCAGGAAAGACTGCAACACACAACAGAGAGGTGAGCCCTAGCTCCTAGGGCCCAAGGCACTGAGCCAGAGCACTGGGAACTGTAGACCCCAAATCCCACCCTTTCAAGTCTAGTGCAAGACCCAAGGTTGGGAGAAAGGAGGAGAAGAAGACAGGCCCATGAAGGAAGACTTTCCAGATGAGAAGAATGGGAAGCTAAACAAGTATGTGGTCTCCTGATGCACATCCAGCCCCAACCCTTCTTCCCTGTCCCTTCCTTGGGGCCACCCAGGAAGTTGATTCATTGACCCCTACACATCTATAAAGCTAGGAATGGTGCCCAGTGGTAGAGGGCACAATTTTCTGAAGTAGAGTGCCACATCCATGGCTGTGCACTCACATGCAATATATATTCCCAGACATGAAGGGGGTATAATGTGATTGTCATTTCGGCTGCAACATAAGGGTCACCAACTGATGCTTATACTGAGAACGGGTTTAGGTGAGTCCAGCAAAGCCAAGTATGTTTGAGTATCTCCATGTAGGTATCTTGTGTGCATGTGGGAGGATTCACGTCATATTGTCATGTCTGTGAGTGCATGAATGCCTCTGAACTCAAGTTGTCACACCCCTTCCTGCCTTCCCTTGACCTCCCATGTGTTCCTGGCATCGGGCCTTCTCCACTCCACTCCATGGCCTTGGAGACTGGTACCCAAGAGGAGAGATGGACCCAGGGAGCAGACACTGGAACTCCAGAAACATCTGCCATCTGACAGCCCATGGTGATGTCAGAGGGACAGAAGTGCGGAGAGGGGAAGAGCTTCCAGCACCAGCAGCCCAGCTGGCTTCTGCTGTGGCTCAGAGATCTCACCTCCAGGGCACTTCGGTTAAGATGTATTCTGGCTTCTGCCACCACCTTGGCCAGGGATCTCATGGTGCCCAGCACTGCCAATAAGTCAGCGGGTGAGCTCAGCACCACCACCTGCTCTGGCAGCTGTGCCAGGATCTCTGGGACCTCCTCAGCAGGCCGGCCCTGGCCTACCTGCAGCCACTGAGACAGACAAGATAGCAGGAGGGGATGATGGGTGAGTCCTCGTGAGGGAGGGGCCACCTCCTCCCCTTGTCTAGCTCCTTCCTCCCCATACCCACACCCCATCCCAGGGGAGCAGGAAGCAGAGAGGGGAGTGAGCCATGTGGAAGGAAATGACACCAACCTTAGTCGGATGGACATTTGATGCTATTAAGGTTTGAAAATAGCACACTCCCCATCATGAGAGTGCTGACCATTCTAAGGCCCCCACACTACTTCCTGGCTCTGCTAGGGCTCCAGTTCAGAGAAGCTGAATAACATTTGGGCTGGGCCTCAGGGAGGAAGAATTCTAATTCCTGACTGAGGAAGGGGTAGGTCATGCAGGGTGAGGCACGTGGGCGGCAGGGCCAGAAAATTTACCCAGGCTTTATGAAGCAAGGCCTGGAGCCTTGGGTCTATACAGCTGCTGTGGATGGGTCCCCAGACCCCGTCAGGCCCACACGGCCTCTTCACCATGTCCGTCTTGTTCATGGGACACGGGACCTGTGCCACATGGCCAGCCTTGGTGACATTCCAGGCAACAAGTGAGAAATCCTCAGGGCAGGTGGTGTTTCCACCTGAAGAATGATATCAGGGAAGGCTCAGCAACCACGATCTAGCCTGGGCCTTTCCTTGGGCAGAAACTTGTGCAGGTTCTGGAGCCTGGCCCTGTTGCCCAGCACAGAGAAATGTCGAGGAGGAGCTCCCAGAGCAAGCAGGTGAGAGGGCGGCCAGCTGCATCCCAAGCCCCACGTACCCTGGATGATGGTGCCAGAGATGAGACCCCTGTGAGGAGTCCCTCCTGGGCTCCACAGGTCACAAGCGTACACAGTGTCAGCGGCAGGGCGGTGCTGGCACTGGGAGCCTGATGTGTTGAGCAAGGAGACCGAGGGTGAGAAGAGAGAAGGGAACAGCCACTGGGCCAGGAATAGACCTAGAGCCCAGTGGACCCAGGGGTGCCATCTCAGTCTTTCTAGCAATTTCACAGCAGATGACGCAATGGGGAAGAGCTGAGTGGTATGGGGGCATCAAACTACTGAAGGCGGGGCTTAGACTTGGGTGGAGGGCACCCTAGGGGTGTCTAATTAGCTCCGGGACTTGAAGCCACATTTTCCTCATTTGTAAACTGGGGCCGATCATTGAGCGAACCTTACAGAGTGTATTGTGTGAGTTCAAGGAGATTGTATAGACGAGAGAATTTTGCAAAAGTTATCTGCACACATGTAGTTATTGCTGTATCAATAGAATTGGGGTAAAAACAGTGTTGGACTTGGACCCTGAACTCCCAGATCAAATTGCAGCCTCTGCTTCCTGTGAGCTGGAGAGTTAGTGGCCTGGAGACCAGCTGCCCCCTCTCCCCTGACCCCTGGCAGCCAGCGCCTTTCCATACCTTCGCTGCCCTCTCTGGGGCTCCAGGAAGCCGTGTAGGCTGCGCGTGTGCTGGGGATGCAGCAGCTCAGCTGGAAGCCAGGGGAGGTGGCACAGGCAATGGAGAGCTGGTCTGGAAGCTGAGCCACGTCTGTCGCCTGCAGGGACACCCTGGCAACCTGGTATAGCTCCCACCTGAGTCCCTGGGCCTCAAAGCAGCGCATGTACTCACCTGCAGACACACACTTGCTGCACCTCCCGGCTCCGCTGGCCCCCACCTCTGCCACAGGATCTCTGCTGCTTCCCAAGCCACAGCCTAGTCCACATTTTGGTCCAGACTCTGCTTAATCCCAGCAAGAGAGATCCCCACCCCTAAATGGATTTCTAGAAGGAAGAAGAGATCCAGAGAAGAGGCTTCTGACCCTTTTTTATTAGCCGTAGCCACGAATTCTAAGGTGAACCCCTCTGCCTCCAGGAGATGCCCCTCCTGCTCCACCGCCTGCCATTTCAACATCTTGAAGAAAAATACACATCTGTTCTCAGTCAAAATGGACACCATATTTTCAGCATTCTCCCATTATAATTTCTCACATCAGTGGGTCTCTTAGCCTTTGTTTCCCCAGAATGAATAAATGGAAAGATGAAAAGGGAAAAGAAGAGAAGAGAAGAAGGAAGGAGAAGAGAGGGAGGAGCAAGAAGTGGAGATGAGGAGAGAAAAAAGACAGGAAGAAGGGAAGGCGAGGAGAGAGAAGAAGAGAGAGGCCAGGCTGGCTACCTGCCCATTTGTGGGAGATGTTGAAGATGCTGAGCACAGCCTGGCCCTGGCTAGAGGTCAGGGACACATGCATCCCTGGCTGCAGGGGGTAGGGTCTGGGGGTCCTTGGGCGCCACAGGAACCAGTTCAGGTTGGTGGTCTCGTGGCTCATAAGGAGAATCAGGTTTGGCTTGTTGCCAGGCGTCCGGGAGCTCAGGCTCCGAGTCTGGGGGACTGCAGGGCGGCAGGAGACAGGAGACAGGAACAGGAACTCATGGCCCTTGAGGCTCCTGAGCTCTCACTCCTTCCCCATCTTCTAAAGTCCCTTCCTCCTCACCCCCTCCCCACCTAGCATTTTTTGTTTTGTTTTGTCCCTGGATGAATGTGGCTTCTAGCCTGGAAGACTCCATCTGTCATTGGGAACCAAACAGGGAAACTTTTTGGCCTATGACTTCCCCTCCCCCATGAAGGGAACTTTCTGTCCTTGGCTTATGTCTCTGGAGCCCTGTTGTTCATTAATCTCCCTACTCAGGTCCCCAGCTCAGAGCCCGTGATCTGCTATGATGGCTGGCCTTTTCTCCCACCCAGAGGACCCACTGGTCTTGGGCCAGCCGGCAGAAATACAGGGATCAGAGAGGAAAAAACCACAGAGAGTGTTTCTTTCACTTGGGGCCATTGGTTTCCAAGTTCTCAACTCTCCTTACCAGGTGGCAGTAACTGGCAGTACCCGGCTTCAGTAGGGCTGAAGACAAGACAGCCACAAGGTTGGTGGTCGTGGGGGGTTTGGCAAGGATGGTGATGGGAGTAGACACTGGTGTTCCACTGGTACCCAGAGAGGCAAGCACAATAGGTACACCCATCGTGGTTGACATTACAGTCTGTGACAGAGGGAAGAGAAATGAGAAGTGGGCAGGCTGTCTGAGAAAGCCAGGTAGGCAGGATAGACAACTGCCTGGTGCCTGAGAGGCTCTAGGCTGGGTACCTGGAACAATCCCAAAGTCACAGGTCCCTCCTTCACACCCACCCATAAGAAACTGCTTCCTTAGCCAGGGTTCAAAGCAGCGGAGGCTGTGCGGGGCATCAGGAGTCAGGGTGGACAAGTCCTGGCCCACCCTGGTCTGCCCCTTGGGCCCTCTGTTTAGAAGACGGGGACATGGAGCAGGAAGGGAGGGGTCTGTCTGGTGGGGAGGTGAGGAAGGAGCCAGGCCATGTAGACCCTCCAGGAACTAGGGAGGGGCTCAGAGCATCTCGGGCGAGCTGGCTGCAGGAGGCCTGGGAAGCCCATGTGCCCTCCGCTCCGAGCCCCCTTCCCACACAAGTGGTGTAAGAGCCACTGAGAGGCAAGGATCAGTAGAATTTCCCCTACCTGTTGTGAGGCTAAGGCCCAGGAGGGATCTTGGGGAAGAGGTAGGCGAGGCAGTGGGGAAAGTCTGGGTCCTGGAGAGTGCTGCTGGCCACGTCTCATTTGAAAAGTCCAGCTGTACATAGACCGAGACCAGGACTGATTCTACAGGAGCAGAGGGGACAGGTGGAGAGGAGAGGCAGCGAGGCCATGGGCCGGTCCCCTTTTGCCTCCCACACCTAGCTGGTCACTGCCAGGAACCTGGAGCAGAATGCCCCGTCCCCCACAGCCCACCCAGGCACAGACAGGGCTCAGGAAGGTAATAACTCTCCTAGCTGTGGAGCATTCAGACACACTGCTTCATGTCACCCTCCCAACAACCCTGTTTTATAGATGAGGCTCTCAAAGACGAATGATCTTCTCAAGGCCTCACAGCTCCAGAACTGGTGCATGGACCTGCCTGACCAGAGCCAGATCCAGTCCTCTCTCTTTACTGCTCCCACCTCGCTGTGGTCTCTCCCAGTCTTTTCTTTCTGCCCCTCCCTCCTCCTCCTGTCCATCTACTCACCACCTGCTTCACTCTCTTGGTCCAGTTGCTGCCCAGACTCCCCTCCTGCCTGACTCTGTCCCTGGAACAGAGCGCAGAGGAGAGACCTCTGAGGAGAGGCTGACCCTGGCTTTCCCCCAGGGATGCCCTCTTCCTCAAGCAGCTCAGGCCCAGTCTGGCTAACCTGGACTGACTCATTCTCTTTGAAGTTCCTCTTTTTACCTGGAGTTAAGGGGGCACATCACGAGGGTAAAGCAGGCTTCCGGCAGGAGGTGCCAGGGGTGCAGGCCAGGGCTGCAAATCCCACCTGAACCCAGAACCAGGCACACCCTGGAAAGTCAACATGCTTTGCTTAATTCCTTCCTGAATTTACCTGTCCCTGGGCCTCTAGGGTAATTGAAATGGCTGGGCCTGGAGCTCCAGCAGGGAGGGCTGGGCAGAGCTGGGGGGGTAACAGAAGCTTGGGGACTGTATTCCCTCAATAGGACTTGCCACGAGGGTGAGCAGAAGGCAGCATCTTCCCTTAGTCTCTGGTTCCTGTAAATTATTTCCTCACCAACTCCTTCCTCTCTCAAAATTGCATGTGTGTGTGGATATCTATCTAAAAACAGATATTGATATTGATAAGGATATTGATAGAGATAGAACTATTCACTTAGGAGAAAAGAGAGATCAGAAAGTACTAATCTAGACTCAGCTGCCTTTCCTCAGAATCTCTCCTGTCTTCAACACCAATGGTTCCCAAATCTGGAAAGTTTTTCTTCTCATTTTTAAACTGCAAGCTTGATCAGAAGAGCCATTATCCAAAGTGCAGAAGGTATCATTGGAACTCACAGGGACTCAAATAAACAAAGCCATCCCCACACCCTGGAAAATAAGACTGAACTCTCAGAAATCCTGTAACACTAGTCTCCTTCCTCTGTACATTACCTCCTCTCCCGCCAGCCCTTTCCCCTCCTCCTGTCCTTTCATCCCACATCTTGCTGCCCCTCACACCCAGAGGCCCTGACCACTGGCTCTGCAGACCGTCCCTGGGTCCTCACCGCAGGCTTAACTCACAGGTTGAGATGCTCTGGCGCCTGGTGATCCCACCAAGGGGAGAGTCACGGCCAGGAGTAGCACGGGGGCAGCCGAACCGACCATGGCCAGCGAAGCAGTCCTCAGGAGTCCTCCTGCTGCAGCATGATGCAAATTCCCTCAGAGAGGAGCTGGTAGGGCCGTGCCCACATGCACAGATGGGATGGGAGGGCGGGGTGGGAGGGAGCCAGGGCCGAATTTAGAGGAAGTGCTGCAGCCCGTGACCAATGGGCATCCTGCCCCAGTGAGGCCTCCTGCCCCAATGAGAGGAGTCTGCCCAGGGTCCCCCTGGGGTCCAGACAAAGGACTCAGAGAGCAGGAGAGGACTTATGGGTCCTAGGTCACAACTGGCAATATATTGATAAACCAGGTTTTGTCATGTCTACAAGGATCTGGATTATTCAAGAACTCCCCGGAAGCTGGATCATCAGAGTCAAGGTTAGAAAAGACAAACATTAGAGCTAATTGTTATCCTAAAATAATTTCCAGATCAGCTCGAGTCTTAAATGTAACGAAGAATCTGGGAAAATGCCGGGAGAAATTATCAAAGAATTTCACAAAATAATTTTGAAGTGAGGAAGTTTTTTCTAAGCAAGACACAAAACCCAGAAACCACAAAGAAAATAAATCAGGCTGTCTAAGAAGTTTTAAATTTGGGATGAAAAGAATGTTAGAGTAAAAAGGCAAAAGACAACATATTTGTAGGAATATGATTGAACACAGGCTAACCTTAAGAATTTTTTATCTTACCATCAGTAAGATAGAAAATGGGGAAAAAATAGGAACAGGCAGTTTACTGAAAAAGAAATTTCATAGTTTGGTAAACATATAGAAACATCCAACATCAGATATAAGAAATGCAAATTGAGAGGTCGGCTCAGTGGTGCAGCAGTTAAGAGCATGCATTCCACTTCTCGGTGGCCTGGGGTTCACGTGTTCGGATCCCAGGTGTGGTCATGGCACTACTTGGCATGCCATGTTGTGGCAGGCATCCCAGATATAAAGTAGAGGAAGTTGGGCATGGATGCTAGCTCAGGGCCAGTCTCCCTCAGGAAAAAGAGGAGGATTGGCAGCAGATGTTAGCTCAGGGCTAGTCTTCCTAAAAAAAAAGAAAGAAAGAAAGAAATACAAATTGAAATGCACTTGAAATAAAAAAATTCTCCATCACCTACTAGTTATCAAAAGACAAGACAGTGATTATATTCAGGGTTGGCGAAACTGTACATGTGTACAAAAATATCTGTATAAGGATTTCAAGGCAGAATTGTTTGTGATAGCAAATGAGTTAAACAACCAAAATGTCCATTCAAAAGGGATAGGTTAAGTAAATTATGGGATTTCCAAACAACAGAACTTTGTTGAAGAAGAACAGAAGTGAAGTAGCTCTATTTTGGAATGAACCCCAATATATATGGTGACATTTAAAGTGTATATTATGCTCCCCTTTATGTAAGAAAGGAAACCAATATTAGATTCTTGTGCTTTTTATTTCTAGAATATTTCTGGAAGAATACATCAGAAACTTGGCAATTGTTGTTGCTTCTGGGGAAGAGGATTAAGGGTCTGGATGGATCTGTGTGCTGTTTGATATATATATTTTCTAATCATAGGCATTTCTTTTTTTTTTGGCTGAGGAAGATTCACCCTGAGCTAACATCTGTGCCAATCTTCCTCTATTTTGTATGCAGGTCACTGCCACACCATGGCTGCTGATGAGTGGTGTAGGTCTACACCCAGGATCTGAATCCAGGCCATGGAAACAGAGTGTGCAGAACTTAACAACTAGGCCACAGGGTCAGCCCTAGGGACGTATTTTTTAATTAAAAAAAGAAAGAGTTGACTTAAATGAGCATGCACACGCAAAGTACTTAGGGTAGAAATCTAGCCCCAACACATTTCCACTCCCACCATCACCTCAAATGCTCCATAGCTAGGATTGCTGCTGAAGGAACAGAGACACATAGGGCAAATACATGCATGAGAGCAAAGAGTTCTGTAAATAATGGATTTCAGAAAACATGAAAATGATGAAGAATCAGGTTTGAGAACCAGAGAGTGAAAACACAAGTGCTCGAAGCAGGACGCCATCAGCATGATGGAAACTGTCTACCATGGCTGCAGGTGGCCTCAGATGGACCAGGGGAATATGGGACACCAATAGCATCCGCCACAGTCACCAAAGGGAGTCAGTCAAGCACCAAGTGGTCCTGGACAATGCTCAACACGGTCTCTCGAAGACCAGGAATGACGGAAGAGAGAGGTGGAATGGAGACCCATGGAGGAGTGGCCGCTTCAGTGTCCGGCGGAGACTCAGCAATGGTAGCCTCCAGTTAGGAGAGGCAACGACAAAGCGCATGGAGAGAAGATGCTCCATCTAGAGGAGGTAACAGGGAAGAACAAGTGACTCAGAGGACATTAGAAAGTTGATGGAGCTGGAGAGACTCCCCAGGATTCTACCCCCAAACATACTTTTCCCTAATTGATACCCAACTCATCTTAACCAGTTCAAACTCATAACTAGAATTGAGAGTAAGAAGGAAGATAGCGACATAACCCTGGTTCGGTTAAAGCTGAGGTGTCCAAGGTGTGTAAAACTATTAACAGAACTAAGGAAGTGAACTTTTGTTTATAATGAGTTTTAGACTGTTCTTGTAATTTTAGAGAAGTTTGAAACCTTTTTGCATGTGCAAAAAAAAGCCTAGGGAAAGACTGGAAGGAAATGCGACAGACTCTACAAGTGTCTGTTAGGGTTACCTCAGTATTCCCTAGGGCCTAGTACCCGCGCACCAGAGGCCTTAAGTAATATTTGTATTCAGTGAATCAATAAATAAACGAAACACACGAAGACATTAACAGTGGTTGTAACTAAATGGTAGGATTTGGTGTGTTTTTCTACTTTTCTGTATTTTTCAATTTTGCATTTTATAATGGAAAAAAATCTTCAAAAAAATATCAAATCTCACAGTCTCTATCTATGTCTTTCTTATGGACCAACCAGGTTCAGAGCCTTCACATTTGCCCAGACATCACCAGTTGTCAGCAAGCACCCACGACTGAATCCGGTCTTAGGCCTAGGGCAGGGTTCAGACAAACAGATACTTATTGCTGCCACCTACTTACTCTCAAGTCCAAGGTGAACCATAAAGCTCTTGGCCTTTGTCCCTCCATAGACAGAATGATATTTGAAACCAGTGAGTTTTCACCCCTGCCGGCAGCTTCTCTGGGCTCCCAGGTTGCACCCTAGGCAAAGGAAGTTCCTTTCTATTCCTTTGTCCTTTGAGCCCTCTAGGCCATGTCAGTGGGGTCTTCCATAACAAAGGTTTGTGATCCAGGCTTCTCTTATCTGTGTCCAAACAGGTTATCTTACAACCTCCTTTACTATGTAAACTACTAATAGGTTACTAAAGAATAAAGATAGCTTAGACCTTTATCCCATATGAATCCTCGCTTCTTATTCTCTTTCCACCCGACATCGTTAAACTTAACCACTATGCCACCAGCCAGGCCCCTGACATCAAAAATTTTTAAGTGGAATAAAATGATTCAGAAAGAGTAGTGAGAATTTCAATCTCCTACGATTTAAGCATTTAACTTTGGATCCTAGAATGAGATCCCTTATTTGGTGTCTGGGATAGTACAAACCCTGCTTTAGCATTTGTGTTAAAGTACTTGCTCAAAGGCACAACTTAGAGAGGCTGAAGAAACAGAATTTCTGATGCTATCTTTGATCTCTACAAGATGTGGGGGCTTCTGGGAAGTTTTACATTGACGTTTTTTTGTGAATAAATCTATTGGGAAAACCAGGACATTAGAGTGAAGCAGAATTTTTTCTTCTAGAGATAAAATAATTTCAAACCCTCTGAGGGGCCTCCCTGATTTTAATGTATAATTCAGGCTATCAAAATCTTAATAAACTTCAGCATCTGTTAGGTACCATTCGCTATCTATTTAGACCCATCTATGAAAATCAGTTTCATAATTTGGAGGTGAAGATGGCCTTCCTGAGCATGAAGTGAAATCCTGAAACCATACAGGACAGGAAGACTGATCTGAGTACAGAAAATATGAGATGTCTTATACAAATCACAAACGGCCACAAGATGGTACTATTACTCCATGAAAGAACAACTACGCGTGACCAACTATGCATTAAGGTTTGAGAAGGGGTAACTAATGGAAAAGCAGACATAGGAGTCAGACAGCTGGAGATCAAAATCAGCTTCATTACTGGAAAAGCTGAGCGGGAGAAGGTGGTTTGGATCTGGGCCAGATGCACTTCCCAACACATCCTCCTTGAACTGAATTTACTTACCCAGCCACTGACAGCCAGGCTTCTCCAGGTCTCCCTTGTGGGGAGGGGGAGCAGAAAATGAGTCTGGAGGATTGGCCCCTCCAAAGGAGGGGCACCCAGACCTTATTCTCTATGTCTTACCTCTCAGATAAGTCACTTTTTGCTCAGGGAAATGGGAGAGGGAACAGAAACTCTATCCTTCTGGGGAGTGGAAGGTCCCTCCCCTTTGTGGAAATGTGAGAAGGAAGGCATAAGCATTTCTTGCCAACACCATGCAATACTGATTATAACAAAATTTATTTCAATATTCTAGTAAGAGAGAAAACCAAAAAGCTGCATTTAATTAATGACAAATATACAAATAAGTAGATTTTCATAAAGTCAGTAACCTAGAAAATATGTTTGAACACTCTGTTAGAAGCCCTAGAGAAATGTGTGCCAAGGACTAAAAATAGTAGGTACTTGTAGTGGGAACCTATTGTTGCTGTTTATATTCCATTTATTTTCTGACTCACTTCCTAGAATTACCTTCTACCCATAATCACAGGTTTGCCATGAAAGTCATCAATTTATACAAGGTCACACTGCCCCCTGACTACAGCACTACAGTCCCTGGGTACACATCTAACACCAACTTGGAGCAATTTCTCTCTTCTGGGGTAATTTTGGAACTGGGACCTACTGAGACCCTGATGTTGGACTTGCAACATGTAAAACTCAGCAGCTCTTGGTTTTCTGTCGTGTGCACCGGAAAATAGCCTGAGTTCAAAGGAAGAGTGAAGCTAATGTGTAGACAGCAGCAGAGACAAACAGGAGGACAGTTCATCGTTTGAACTTTAATTTATTCC